TGAAATAGATGAACATTGACCAATTCTTTTTGGTACAGTGACTCTGTGTATTCTTTCCATATTCTTTTGACGCTTCCTGCATCATTCAATATTTTGCCTGTAGAATCTTTCAATATTGCAACTTGAGGCTTAAATTTTTTCTTCAATTCTTTCAGCTTGAGAAATGCTAAGTGTGTTCTTCCCTTTTGGTTTTCTAATTCCAGGTCTTTGCACATTTCATCATAGTAACTGGCTTTGTCTGCTCGAGTTGCTCTTTGAAATCTTCTGTTCAGATCTTTTATCTTGTCCTTTCTTCCATTTCCTTTAGCTACTCTCCATTCAAGGGCAATTTTCAGAGTCTCTTTTTACATCCATTTTGGTCTTTTCTTTCTTTTTAATGACCTTTTGCTTTCTTCATGGATGATGTTCTTGATGTCATCCGACAGTTCCTTGGGTTTTTGGTTGAATGCATCAAATCTATTCTTTAGATGGTTTCTAAATTCAGGAGGGATAGTATTAAGGCCATATTTTGTCTCTCGTAGACTTGTTTTAATTGTCTTCAACTTCAACTTGAAAGTGCATTTGAGCAGTTGATGGTCTGTTCCACAATCAGCCCCTTGCCTTGTTTTGGCCTAAGTTATTGAACTTCTTCATTGCCTCTTGCCACAGATGTATCGCTATGATTTCTGTGTATTCCGTCTGGTGAAGTCCATGTGTATAGACGTCGCTTATGTTGTTGAAAGAATGTATTTGGAATGAATAAGCTGTTGGTCTTTCAATATTCTATCATGCGATCTCCAGTGTTATTTCTGTCACCAATGCCATATTTTCCAACTACTGGTAACTCTTCTTTGTTTCCAACTTTTGCATTCCAGTCACCAGTGATAATCAACACATCTTGATTGCATGTCAATTTCAGACTGCACAAGTTGGCAGAAATCTTCAATTTCCTCATCTTTGGGTTTGGTGGTTGGTGCATAAACTTGAATAATACTAGTATTAAAGTAGTCTTCCTTGTAGGCGTATGGATATTATCCTATCACTGACAGCATTGTAATTCAGAACAGATCTTGAAACACGCTTTGTGACAATGAATGCTACACCATTCCTCTTCAATTTGTCATTCCCGGCATAGTAGATCATATGGTTGTCCGATTCAAAGTGGCCAAAACCAGTCCATTTCAGCTCACTAATGCCTAGGATAGTGATCTTTATGCGTTCCATTTCATTTTTGACAACTTCCAATTTTCCTAGATTCATACTTCATACATTCCATATTCCAATTATTAATAGATGTTTGCATCCATTTCTACTCATTTTGAGTCATGCCACATCAGACAATGGAGTTCCCGAAAGCTTTACTCTATCCATATTGTTAAGGTCGTCTCTACTGTGAGGAGTCAGCTCTCCCCCAGTCAAATTTTGAGTGCCTTCCAACCTGATGGGCTCATCTTCTAGCACTATATCAGACAGTGATTCAGAGCTGTTCATAAAGTTTTCCAGTAATTTACCAAACAGTGTTTCACTGCTATTCATAAGGTTTTTACTGGCTAATTCTTTGAGATGTGGATGACCTCTTCCTTCTTCTGAATCTATCTTAGCCCGGAAGCTCTGCTGAAACCTGTCTACCATGGGTAACCCTACTGGCATTTTGCAACATGGCGTCATAGCCTCCAGTCTCACAGCAACACGTAAGCCATCACAGGATGATAAACTGACAGACAAGTTCGTTTCTCTTAGTTGTTTCTAACGCCTCTGCACCTGCCTACCTTGGGCAACGGCCTTAAAAGAGAGCTGCCCACAAGTGAAAAGCAGCCCCCAAGCCCCGGTCCCACCTACCTCAGAGCCACATCCAAACAAAAAGCAGCCTCCAAGGCCCAGGCTGGCCTACCTAAGGCCCCGACCTTAATATACAGCCACCCCCAAGTGAAAAGCAGCCTCCAAGCCTCAGGCCTGCCTACCTCAGGCCCTGGCCTTTATATACAGCCACCCCCAGGTGAAAAGCAGCTTCCAAGTCCCATGCCCACTTACCTCAGGTCCCGGCCTTAATGTAGAGCCACACTCAAGCGAAAGCAGCCTTCAAGCCCTAGGCCCAATTCTTTACTATAGTCTAGCTTTTGCATATATCTGAGACAAATGAAATTACCATGGCTTGGGTGAGGTGTACCTTAGTTCTCAAAGTGGACTTTGTTTTTGAACACTTAAAACGTTTTTTGCAATAGATTTGCCCAATGCAATGTCATTTGATTTCCTGACTGCTGTTCCCAAAGAGGTTGATCAAAGTAAAATGAAATCCTTGACAGTATCAATCTTTTCTCCATTATCATTATACTATTTATTGATCCGGGAGCTCTGGTAGCATAGTGGCTAAGGCACTTGACTGCTAACCAGAAGGCTGGCGGTTCAAACCCACCAGCCACTCCTTGGAAGGAAGATGGGGCAATCTACTTCCGTAGTGATACTGCCTCGGAAACCCAAGGAGGGGTAGCTATGAGTCGGGTCCGACTTGACAGCACATAACAACAACAACAACAACAACAATTTATTGGTCCAGTTGTGAGGATTTTTATTTTATGTCCAGCTGTAATCTATACTGAAGGCTGTAGTCTTTGATCTTCATCAGTAAGTGCTTCAAATCCTCTTTTCTTTCAGCAGGCAAGGTTGTATCATCTGCACATCACAAGTTGTTAATGAGTCTTCTTCTAATCCTGAAGTCCTGTTCTTCATATAGTCCATTTTCCTTGATTAGTTGCTCAGCATACAGACTGAATAGCTATGGTAAACGGATACAACCCTCACGCATACTTTTCCTGATTTTAAATAATGCAGTAGTCCTTTGTTCTGTTCAAATGACTGACTCTTGGTCTACTGTATAGGTTCTGTATGAGCACAATTATGTTTTCTGGAAATTCCATCCTCTGAAATGTTATCCATAATCTGTTGTGATCTACACAGTTAAATGCCTTTGCATAGTCAATAAAATGCAGGTAACTATGTTTCTGGTATTCTTTGCATTAGCCAAGATCTGACATCAGCAAAGATATCCCTTGTTTTATGTCCTCTTCTGAATCTGGTTTTTAATTTCTGAAAGTTCCCTGTCATTGTACTGTTGCAAACATTTTTTTTTAATTCAGCAAAAATTTACTTACATGTGATATTAATGATATTGTTCTATAATTTCTATATTCTGTTGAATCACCTTTCTTTGGAATGAGCAAAAATATGGATCTCTTCTAGTTGGTTGGCCAGGTAACTGTTTCCACATTTCTTGGCACTGATGAATGAGTTTCCAGTATTGTATCTGGTTACTGAAACATCTGAATTGGTAACCTCTCCATTCCTGGAGTCCTGTTTTTCACCAATGCCTTCAGTGCAGTTTGGACTTCTTCCTTCAATATGGTTGGTTCTTGAGCATATGCTACTTCCTGAAATGGATGAATGTTGACCAATTCTTTTTGGTACAGTGACTCTGTATTCCTTCCCTCTTCTTTTGATGCTTCCTGTATTCAATATTTTGTCCATAGAATCCCTTGATATTGTAACTTGAGGCTTGCCTTTTTTCTTCAGTTCTGGCAAATGCTAAGTGTTCTTCCCTGTTGGTTTTTTTAACTCCAGGTCTTTGCACATTTCCTTATAATGCTTTACTCTGACCCATCCTTTGAAATCTTCTGTTCAGCTCTTTTACTTCATCATTTCTTCCATTTGCTTTAGTTACTCTATGTTCAATAGCAAGTTTCAGAGTCTCTTCTGACATCCACTTTGGTCTTTTCTTTTTTTCCTATTTTTTTAATTAGCTTTTGCTTTCTTCGTGTATGATATCCTTGATGTCATCCTACAACTTGTCTGGTCTTTGGTCATTAGTGTTCAATGAGTCAAATCTATTCTTGAGATGGTCTCTAAATTTGTGTGGGATATACACAAGGTAGTACTTTGGCTCCCATGAATTTGCTGTAATTTTCTTCAGCTTCAACTTGAATTTGCATATGAGCTACTGATGGTTTGTTTTTCAGCTGGCTCCCGGCCTTGTTGCAATTGATGATATCTAGCTTCTCCATTGTCTCTTTCCACAGATATAGTTGATTTGATTCTTGTGCATTCCATCTTACAATGTCCACATATATTAAACAAGCCAAACTCACTGCCATTGAGTTCATTCTGACTCATAACAATACCATTGGGTTTCCAAGGCTATAAATCTTTTTTCTTTTTTTGTCATCTTAAGTCAGTTAACTTTTTTTCTTTTCTTTTTTTATTGTGATTTGGGTGAAAGTTTACAGAGCAAATTCACTTTCCATACAGCAGTTCACATGCACCTTGTCTCATGACATTGACTACAATTTCAAGGCTATAAATCTTTACAGAAGCAGACTGCCTCATCTTTCTTCTGTGGAGTGGCTGGTGGGTTTAAACCATTGACCTTTTGGTTAGCAGCCAAATGCCTTAACCACTACACCACCAGAGTGCCTGTCCACAGGTATATGTCCACTATAATTTATGTTGTTGAAAAAAAGTATTTCCAATGTGAAGTTGTTGGTCTTACAAAATTCTATACTCTAAGTAATGTGATTATAAGAAATAGTAAGTGAAATACTCCTTATTTATAAGGAATTAGTAATTAGTAGTAAATTAAGAATTCCTCATAAATTAGGAGTATTTCACTTAAGATTTTTTTGTAATCACAGAAGTTATTTAAACTACCAATAAATAAAAAACCTGCAGCTGTTGATTTTGATCTTAGTGACCCCAGAACACAGAGCAGAACTGCTCTATAGGTTTTCCAAATCTGTAATCTTTATGGAAGCAGACTCGCACATCTTTCTCCCACGGAGTGGCTGGTAGGTCCTTTGAAATGTCAATATTTTGGTTAGCAGCCAAGGCTTAACCACTGTACCACCAAGGGTCCTAAACCACCAGCAGTAATGTTTTAATTAGAAAAAAAAATTTTTATAAACACTATAAAAAACTTAGTTAATTGTCTCACTTATTAAAAAAAATTATCAATTAGTAATGACAATAATTACCTGCTTCTTTCATGGAAATCTGGTCTATCGTTCCTTTTAATATATAAATGTTGCCAGACAAAGTCCTGAGCTTGTTTTGGTCAATACGTTCTATAATTATATTACTGTGCCAATATATATCAGCAACATCTCTAGGAGAAAAAAAATAGCTTAGTTAAGGCCAATGTACATATATAAGTATACAAATTTGTAACAGAATGATAATTTCATGCTCTAGCTAAACAATCAAACTAATTACACAATATTTGAGGGCTAAAGACCACAGCAGATCTGAAACTGCTTGGCTAATGTGCCACTCCAAGTATCTGCCAAGAAACTATACTGTTGCCAAAATAAGTGCCTACTATAAAATATATCATTAGCATGGAAACATGCTTCCTCTATATATCTGATATTGACAAGCTTGCCATTCGTATCATTTCTGTCTTCTCTGAGGCTATATATATATATATATATATACTGTGTTAGGTTTTATGCAATAATGTAATTTGGATCCATCTAACCTTGTGTTTTTGTTACCTTCACTATTTAGCCAAATGTTACTGGTTTCCATTTTGGAAAGAGGTTCCAGGTGGGAAAAAACAAACCAACAGCAGTAACAAATCACTAACCCATAAATTTACTTATATTTCTTTAATGAAGCTAAGAATAAATATAGAAAGAACAAAATATGAAGATGTATTAGATAAACACGAACAATCCCTTACTCATCAGATGACTAATAGTAATAAACCTTCTAATTATAAGCATAGTAATTCAGAAAGCCACTCTAAAATTCCTTTAGTTTGGTCAATTGGGATTAAATTTATACATTAAAGACACACATTAAACTAGTACATTATACTTTAATGCACAATTATTTCTCCTCTATTTATTTTATCTGTTTTATTTAACAAACATTTATATAGTACTCTAAAAGCACTGTTCTAAGTCTTACAAATATTAACTCATTTAATCCTCAAAACAACCCACAAAGTAAAGAGTATATTATCACCATTGTACAGATAAGGAAACTGAAACTAAAAGAGGATAAGTGACTTGTCCAAGTCATATACTAATAAGTAACAGCAATAGAAAAGAACAAGGGTAATCTACGTTGCCTCTTGGATATTAAGGAAATGGGTATGAGGCAAGTAGAAACCAGAGATTCTATTTACTCAACTTATATACTTCCAAGTAAGTACCTTGCTTATCATATCCAACAGGATTTTATTACAATCTATTATACCAAAAAAAAAAAAAATTTTTTTTTAACCACTAATTGATTTTGATAGTGAAACTGCCTCGGAAACTCAAGGAGGGGTCGCTAGCAGTCGGGTGTGACTCAACAGCACATAACAACAACAACAACAATTGATTTTGAAAAGTAGGAAGCACTGCTTATTAAAATATCAGAACCAGGCAAGACCCACTTACCTGATGATGCTCTGGCTTTAGGGAGTATCAGAAAATGCACCAATGATTACTCAATATGTAGCTGTATGGAAAAGTTTTAAAGTAATTTTGATTCCTTTTCTGGTTAGTAATTTATATATGGTTGTTCCAATTTAGGTGGGAGAATCTGGACTGAAATCCATGCCGTAAATATTAACTAATCATATATAATTAAGCAGATAATATTAGTCCACTTTCTGTACCTTTAAAAAGAATAAAATGCTATACAAATTTGAGCTGTTACTATTTTTAAAATAGCTTGAATAAACAGGTAGAAGAAAGAAAGCTGGTAACATTCAACATGGTCAGAACCTGCACTGTCATTTTACTTTTCTGACTTCAGTTAATAACCTATTTAGACAGTCTTTGTTTTGTGGGTAGATGCTATTTCCTATGCATCTTTTAAACTCTTACAAACAACTGTTTAAATTTTTATAGGTTTTATTAAAAAATTTTTTTAAATGTTATACTTACATTAGTTTTCCTTCTACAATTATAGCAGTGTTATCATTGATGATTTTAATCATCCATTCCTGTAGCTGGACTACCTAACCAAGCATAAAACAAAGTACATATTTTCTGTATTACTTGTAGAAAAAGCATTACAAAATTAATTTACATTAAAATAACTCATGTAAGTAACCCAAATGATTCTTTACTACTCATTTATATAAGGATCACGTTCTATTTTAAGTAACAAAATAAAACTCATAAGAAATGAAAAAGAAAAGATGAAGGAAGAAAAATTTGACTAAAGTGACCTTGTACCACATAGTGCTACAATTCAGAAACAATTATACTTCAAATAGTCTTGTATCAAATATTTCAACTACTGGAAAAACAATCACCTAAAATCCCAAGATATCCATTAAAACATAAAAGATCCAATAACCTGCAGAAAAGAGTCACTCATATACTTTTTACCATCATTTCTATCCCTAAAAAGTCAGCCATTTTTCTTTCTTTGTATTACAAATGTGATTTGCAGTTTCCTTTCAAATTTCTATAAACTATGAAAATGATTGCTAGTAACCTATACTCAACATTCTACTTCAAAGCAAACATCTAAATAATAGTTCATGGAATTTATGTTAGTACATGTAAAATTCCATTATAAAAGAAAAATTTCTATGAACATCTGGGCAAAAAATTGTGTTTCATAACATAACTATGTCTGATGAGAAATAAAGCCAAAATCCATAGAACTAATTGAATGGCTAGTTATTTTACATATAAAATTAAAAGCTTATATATAGAGACAAATTTTGCAGTTTTATACGAAGTCCAGAGAAGATACTACAATGAGAGAGTGCTTTGTTATTGCATTTATCCTCAATTATTGTCTCTATTGCAATTACTCGATTCTGCTGTTGTAACAGGAAAATGACAATGATAATATGTAAGTATTGTATGTGGATGTGGCTGTATTCCAAGAATATTTTATTTACAAAAACTGGCAATACTTTAGGGCAATGTACCAGAATAATTCCAAATGAGTGAGAAGTTTTGTAAAGTAGAAGAACAGATTGTAAAAGGAAAGGCCTAAAAGGCAGACATGTTTTTAGGAAAGAGTACATAAGTTAGATATTCAAAAATTCCCTTAAAACTGTATGTGCCCACCATACTCCTTGGAAAGTCTGAAAGTCTGAGCTAACCATTTTTAAAGGAATATAATACTCTGTTTTGAAGGTGACAGTCTTAAAAAAAACCTCACTGCTGTCGAGTCGGATTCGACTCATAGCAACCCCTCCTTGGGTTTCCGAGGTGGTATCACTATGAAGTAGATTGCCCAACCTTCCTTCCAAGGAGTGGCTGGTGGGTTTGAACTGCCAGCCTTCTGGTTAGCAGTCAAATGCCTTAGGCAGTAGGGTACTAGAGCTCCCAGCTACAGTCTTGAAGGAAGCAAATGATCAATTTTATTATACCTTCCTTTTCAAGTTTTTATGGTCATCTAGGAAGTGTTAGGGAGTGAGAGGGAGGGCAAAGATGAGAAGAAAAAGTTTAACCTACAGCACAGGGGCTCTATACATCCCTTTCCTAAATCTTATAGAGCAGAGACTCTCTATGAACCTTCCTCCTCCAAATTCTATAAAGCAGTCTTTCAAATTGTGACCATGATCCATAAAAATACATTCTACTGCACATGTACATATATAACTAAACAAATTTTTCACAAAACAATTAACCTTAATACTGGCACTCTGTTGATATTTTTCACTGTATTCTATCTTATTTTATTTTCAAAATGCAGTTATGACCCATTAAACTCATTTGATAACCCATTCAAGGGTTGCTATCTACAGTTTAAAACCATGCTAAAGAGAATGTTTATAGCAGATAGTAGTAAGACTGATATCAAAGCCCGCAGAAAGGTTATCATGATGATGAAGCTGGATTTAGGGACTACAGCTTAGATATGTAGCCAAAATAGGCTTTGTAAAATTCTTTCTTAATTTGATTGACTCCTAAAACTGTAGGATATCCTCTTAGAAATGAAGAACCTAGCTAAATAAATAAGTAAGCCAGTACACACCCTCTCAGACCAAAGAGAGAAGCCTAGAGAGGCTGAGTTTGCTAAACTCTTTCTCTCAAATACAATAGACAATTCATTTTTCCCGTTGGGAAAAGTGAGCAAGAGGATCTGAGAAGGTCATAAGTATAATTCTAGCAGAAACCTCCATATGGAAATATAAAGGAAAGTAAATGAAGATTCCTTCTTCACAATGTGGCTGGATGATATCTGGTTTACTTGGATATTTTGTATAGCAAGAGAGGTTGAAAGTATTTAGTTTTTTCATGACTATCCCCCTCTGGGAAATTAACCAAAAACTGTGTAAGCATAAATTACACCAGGAAAATTCTCAAATCTTCAGATGCTATAATTCCTTTCTTTTTCAAATGCTCTGTAAACAGTATCTCAAGAATAAGAAAAAAAAAATAGAAGTAAATAAAAGCAGGAAGAAACTCAGTGTCTATCCCCAAAGGGAATAAATTATTAAAAGCTATACAACTACAGTTAATACAGCAAGGTAAGACTTAACACCCAGGCCTTCTTAATTTCAACCCATTGCTCTTCTCACTATAGATGTTCACTACAGAGGTCATGTTGCCTCTATACTAAATGATAGTAAAACATAAAAGTGAAGCTACTATTAGTAATGAGAAAGCTTAAAGGTAAAGCTCATGAAGAGTAGAGTTAAAAATAGAAATAAATAGCTGCCTTCAAAATTTTCCTATCCTAGATGCCCATCAACAGAAGAATGGATAATCAAAATATGGTACATAGACACAATGGAATACTATGCAACATCAAAGAATAATGTAGAATCTGCAAAACACTGCATATCGTGGATGAACTTGGAGGACATTATAGTGAGTGAAATAAGTCAATCACAGGACAAATATTTTATTAGATCATTATTGTAAAAAGTCAAGGAAACATTATATATGAAAGGAAACTTTCTTTGTTGGTGGGAGAGGAGGAGAGGGAACTCTGCAAAAAAAAAAAAATCTTACTACCAAATCAAAATAATTTTTTTTCCTACCTTATTTTTTTTCACTTGATTTGTAATAGTTTGAAATATACTTGGAGGAGAAAGCTTTTTCTTTCTGTCTGATCTTCTTTTTGATCTTTGAGGCATTGTTATATTAAGTCTTGGAGTTGCAAGCACAATTTTACATGTACTGTTCTTAGAACACTGAAGAGCTGTCTCTCTTGACATTATTTTTTCACTTTCTTCCTTAGCTTTTTGCTGTGAAGTCCCTCCTATTGTCATCTTACTCTCAGAAACCTTTAAATGACTGCTTTTATCGGTAGGCACACAATTAGCACCGAGAGTTTCAACGGTAGCTGTTTGGGATTTTTCATAGGCAGGATCAAGGCTTTCTAAAACAAATGTGCCCTTTATGGACTTGGTGCTTACAACTGAATTCTCTTTTGAGTGAGAAATTTGTTTAGCCAACTGAGTTCTACCTAATGAGACTCCTGCAGCTGAAATATTTTCATGTTCTTGCTTCAGAGTTAGAAGCTCTGCAAAATATAAACAACAAAATAAAATTTATAGAAGGGTCATACCTAAACCGAACCCATAGCAACCCTACAGGACAAAAAGAACTGTTCCATAGTGTTTCCAACGCTGTAAATATTTGCAGAAGCAAATGGCTTCATCTTTCTTCTGCAGAGCAGGTAGAGGATTCAAACCACTGATCTTTCGGTTAGTACTCAAATGCCTTAACCACTGAACCACCAGAGCTTCTCAGAGGGGTCATATTTAAAATAAAATTTAAAAAGAGAGAAATAAAAAGTCAATTTAAAACTGTGGATATTAAAAATAAGTCCTCCTTTGCATCTTTCTTTGAGTGTTCCTTGCTTTTAAGATTCAAACTTTTATCCACAGCCAATGCTTATTCCCTACACTGGGAAAATAATTATCTACACATAATAGTACATTCAAGTTAAAAACTAAAACACAACAAAACAGAAAGCACTTTACCGTAAGTTAAATTGTTCAGAGATCCTTCCTGTTCTTGTTGATGTTGAGTTTTTTGTTTGACTGGAAGAAAAATATTATTTGATGAGTCTATAGGTGCTTCTTGGACTGGTATTGAGATTTTTTTTTTTTAAGAAAGAAGAAATCAAATTGTATTAATTACTGAAAATACATTAATATATTTCAAAATCTTGAAACAGATACACTTAGGTTCAGTAATGAACAGACCAGCATAATGTATGTATCTTTTCAATACATGGCATTTACATAATTTTCCCTTTATTATCATCATACATTCACTTCATTATGTATACCTATGCTACACTCAGGCATAATTTTTTTTTTTTTTTAAAACTTCTCCATGTTATAACTTTCCAGCTGTAGGCAAAAGTCTACTACTAAATTTGGAAGCCTGGTGACCTGGAATATAATTCTGGTGCTGCCTAAAATCAGATATGTAACCTAGACCAAGTCAAATAGGCCTATTTTCTCATTTGTAAATGAAAGGCTTTAGTTAAGATGATATATATGGTACTACTCAGTCCTGAAAATTCTGCTTCTGGTTACTGTAAACTCTAAAACACAAACAGTTGAATAGTTGTAACTTACATTTTAAAATAAAAAAGTTGACACTTAATAGCATACTCAACTTTCATTTATACCCCACTGGCATTTCTCTAAACCAAAAAAACCAAACTCACTGCGTTTAGCAGGTCTTCAAAGGCACAAAAGTGGTAGGCTTATCAACAAAACAAATAAGAACTAATAGTGTTCTTTATATTTTATTCTGCTTTACAGCTAGGTCTTTCAAGTTTCATGTTTTCTGAGTATAGAAATTAATTTCTTTTATTAAAAAAAGGAGGTGATAATAGGCTTACAATTGTTGTTATATGCTGTCGAATCAGACTTACAATTAGCACCAAAAAAATATTTGTTTAGTTACAAATATTATACATGAAAAAATAGGTAATGTTTATGCTTTAAGTATGGCACTTTGGCTTTAGGATCTTAACAAAGACTTTATTATAATGACATAGTCAAAAAAGAAGTGGTAGCAGCCAGCTACCCAGAGGGAGGGAGTAGTTGAACCTGTGGGCTCGGGGCCATAGTCGCAGAGGACATCAAACTCAATTGGCATATAACACACTAGACAAAACATTATTCCACCTCCTACTTTGGTGAATAGTGACTGGGATCTTAAAAGCTTGCAAGCAGCCATCTAAATATAACAATGGGTCTTTCCTTGTCCAGAACAAAGAATGAAGAAAACCAAAGATGGAAACAGTTAGTCCAAGCAACAGGTAAACCATGTGATCCTCAGCCTACACGACACTGTGACCAGAAGAACTAGATGGTGCCTGGCTACCACTGTCATCCACTTGGAGGGGGATCTATGCAGGAGATCCTGGATAACGTAGGAGAACAATGTGGAACAAAACTCAAAATCATTTGGGAAAAAAAAAAAAAGGACCAGGTTTGCTGGTCTTATAGAGCCTGGTGGAACCACTGAGACTATGGCCCTAGCTGCCCTTCAGGTCTAGAATCGAACCCTTTCCTGTGGCTTCCAGACAAACAAAAGACAGGCATATGAGGTGAACATTTACACTAGGTAGATACACTCTGTGAAGAGAACAATCATGGAAAATAGGAGGGCTGTCTATGCACAGGGACATAGCTCAGGGGGTAGTAGTGTATGGAGGGAAGGACACAGAGAATAAAAACTATGGGGAAGAAGTGGGATGGGAGCTCTTGCATTGTGGTAAGTTGTAGTCAATGTCATGAGACAAGGTGTATGTGAACTGCTGTATGGAAAGTGAATTTGCTCTGTAAACTTTCACCCAAATCACACACACACACACACACACACACACACAAAGAAGTGGTAGGGTCATGGTTTAATGAGCCTTCCCATTAATTGGCCTTAAAACATGTTTAGTGGTTCTGTTCTACCTCCTTCTTCATTGCATAGTGTCTGGGATCTTAAAAGCTTGCAAGCACAAGGTACAAAACTTGGTCTCTATTCTTCTAGAACAAGAGAGGAAGGAGAGACAGGAATAGGAGGAAGATTCAGAATAAATGGCTGACTGCTTTCATGAATAACCACTTCCTTTGCCATGAGACCAGAATTGGATGGTGCCTAGTTCCATAGCGATACTGCCTTGGAAACCCAAGGGAAGGTCGCTGTGAGTTGAATCCAACTCGACAGCAGTGTTTGGTTTGGTTTTTGGTTTAGTTAACATTACTACATTTTGAGCAAAGATTCTATAGAAGAATCCTGGTCAAAACAGGAAAAATGCAGAAAAGGATTTCATAGTCTCATGGACACCAGACTTTCTGGAGCCACAAACGCTGGATGAACCCCTGAAACTATTGTTCTGAGATAATCTTAAGCCAAAAAATATCACCTGAAGTCTTCTCAAAGCCAAACAATCGTTTAGCTTAAATAATAAAAAATGTCTGCCTTGAGCATTCTGCTCTTTCAAGATCTATCTATATAGGATCAAACTGTCAACAGCAACTTAAAAGTAAGACAGGAAACTTAGAGGCAGTGAGTTTATGTTAATGGAAGTGGAACAACTCAGAAAAGGAGAGTGAGAATGGTTGCCCAACTTGAAGAATGTAATCAATGTCTTGGAATTATACATGTAGAAAGTGTTTAACTGGTTTTTACTTTGCTGAGTATTAACACAACAAAATAAACATTTAAAAAACATGGTAAGTTTCTGTTTCTTCTTTAATTCATTCTACTGGAAATGCCAGGGCAATGCCCTTAAGGCAAATAAGGCCAAACCTCTAATTAGTCATTAGAGTCTATTTCTTCTCAACTGGTCAATGGCATCACAATTTTCCCCTCTGGATCATTCCTAACAGCATACAAACATGTTGGTATTTCACTTGCCACTAGAAACAACAATAAAATCTCTCTTAGTCATACTTCCCATTATTTCTCTGCTCCTCTTTATGGCAAAACTTCTCAAAAGGTTGTCTGTATTCACCATTGCCAATGTCTCTCCTCACATTCTCTCTTGAAACCTCCTGAATCAAGTTTTTGCTCCTCCCACTCCACTAAAACTGTACGCATCGAAATCATCGATGACCTCAACACTGCTAGATCTGATAGTCAAATCTCAGCCTTTATCTTCCTCGACTGATTAGCAGCATTAGACATAGCTCTTAACTCCTCTTCCCTAAAACATTTTTTTCTATTAATTTCCAAAATATCACTCTTAGTTTTCTTTCTTCTTTGTTAGCTTCTCAGTGACTTTCACAAGACTCAAATCTTTATTCTAACTTCTACACTCAGCCCTTGAACATTTTCACTTTCCACACTCAGACTCCTTTATGATCTCACACCTTTAAATACAATGCTGATGCTAATGATCCCCAAATATGTTTTTCTTACCTGGATCTCTTCCCTAAATTTCAATTAATTTTTTCCAACAGCCCTATTGTCACTTACATTTAGATTTTTAATAGACACATTAAAATTAATATGACAAGAAATGTAACTACTAAGCCCATCTGCTCCTCAGTCAGCATTCCCCATTTCAGTTAAATCAATGGATCTTTCCAGTTGTTAAGGCAAAACAAAACAAAAACTACCCTGGAGTCACATCTAATCTAAAGCAAATCTTATTGGCTCTGTCTTCAAAATACATCCAGAATCCAACCACTTCTTATCTTTACTGCTACTACATGGACCAAACCAACACTATCTCTCATCTGGATTACTGTAATACTTCTTTCTATTTAAAACCAACAGCCAGAATGATTAACACCATTAAGTCACATCTAGTCACTCCTCTGCTCAAAACCATCTAACTCACTGCTGGTGAGTCCATTTCGACTCATAACAACCCCTCCTTCAGTTTCCGAGGCGGTAACACTACAGTAGTAGATTGCTCAACCTTCCTTCCGAGGAGTAGCTGGTGGGTTTGAACCGCCAGACTTCTGGTTACCAAATGCCTTAGGTACTACATCACCAGAGATCCCAAAGACCTTATTCCACTCAGAGTAAAAGCCCAAACCCTTATATATACCTATAACGCCCTACATTATTTGATTCTCCCTGATCTACCCGTTCCTCCCCAGTTCTATCCACTCACTCTATGACACATTAATCTCATAATTAGAACTTGAACTTGTCAGACATGCTGCTATCTTAGGGCATTAATACTAGCTGTTCCTTTTCTGAATCATCCTATCCTATTCCCCGATATATCTGCAAATATTACCTCCATTTTTTTTTTTTTCTACTTAAATGCCACTTTCCCATTGAAGCTTATCCTGACCACCCCCTTAAAAATTATATCCCCGCTCTAATATCCCCATGGGAGCTCTGGTAGCATAGTGGCTAAGACACTTGCCTGCTAACCAGACGGCTGGCGGTTCAAACCCACCAGCCACTCCTCGGAAGGAAGGTTGGGCAATTCTACTTCCGTAGTGATACTGCCTCGGACACCCAAGGAGGGGTTGCTATGAGTCAGGGCCGACTCGATGGCACATAACAACAACAACAAATATCCCCATAATCCCTACTCTGCTTTTTCATTTCTGTAGTGCTTCTCTTGTACTGTACTGTAAAAATTACTTTTTTAATATTTTATGTCTCCCTACCACTGTGAGCTACACAAGGGCAGGAATTTTTTTCTATTTTGCTGTTATATGCCAAGCACCTACCAATAGTGCCTGATACACTAAGCACTTAAGACTTTATAGCTTTTCAGCCAACATAAAATAAAACTAACCTCTTAGTGAATTGTTATCTGATTGAAATGGTTTGCTGTTTTCCTTTTCTTCACAGAGGTAGGTATGCTGCAATGGTCTTTTCTCAGCTCTATTAGGAGTCAAGATTTTATTACTATCACTTTTCGGTGGTTCCAACAAACTGTTTCTTGATTCTCGTTCTTGTTTATCACGTAGTACTTTTTCTTTCATTCTTTGAAATATTTTTCCTGGTGATTCATAGTTTGGTATATTTTTAAATCTATCCTTGTTGGACTTTATAACACTGATATCAAGAGAACTGTTAGAAATGCTAGCCTCTGCTAGCACAGTAGATTGAAATACTTTATTATCATTAAAAGTTGTCATTTCTATGAACTGATTTTTTTTGCAGTCTCTTAATTTTAAAGAAGAGTTCTGATATTTCACCAAATCTTTTACAGGAGTAAGTGTGCCTGGAGGAATGCTGTCAAAAAAGATTGCATGCATGGGTATATTTCTCCTTTGAGATGCCTCTGAAGACAAGTGAACTCCTGGATGTTTCAAAGGTGTTGTAATCATCTTGATAAAACAGTAGCAAAAAAGTTCTTCTAACAGAAAAATCCTGCAAGCACAATTTTCAGAACAGAAATTCAGCAGGGGCCCAGAAGAACCTGTAGTTGAATGTAAAACCAACTTTTATCACGTTTCAGTACAGAAAAAGTTTAAATTTTAGTTGCTTTCTATAACAACATTATACTAATTAAAAGGTTTAATTGGTTCATAACAACACTGAATAATCTAGCTCAACAAATCAGACTAAGATGTTACTTTCTGCTAATGTCTCATTGTTATTTTTTTCAATTCATGAGCAGTTTGGTCCTTAAATTTACTTCTCTGCAAAAAAAGAGGTATTTACCAAATTACCTTCTTAATAGGCCTAAGAATTTAATTTTGTACATATCTGCTTTTGAAATTTACATGAATCTCAAACCCTAAAGGTTCCAATTTAATATCTGCATCAAAAAGCATCAAATGACTTAAGCAAATGCCTTTATACTAGATTTTAAATGTTTCACAGACATGGTACTTAAATTTTAGGAAGCAGTTATAATGATATATCCTCATGAAAATCTATTTGATTATTTAGTTATATAACCCCTGAACCTAATTTTTTGATATTGTGGAATATTTTAGTTATTATTGGATTTTGTTGCAAAACTCAAAGTAAATTATATTAACTCTAATTTCAAAAAAATTAATGCTTTTTGGAATTTTTAGAGGAAATCATGTACTTGAACACACATGATCTTAGATTTGTTTTGTTTCCTGCGTTTTAGCTTGCCAAAAGACTGAGAAGTGATTTACTTGTTTCTTACATATAAATTTTATTTCCAATACCTAGAAAGGTTTTCCCCGGCCAACTCTTTGAGAAGTGAATGGCCCCTTCCTTCTTCTGAGTCTGCCTTAGTCAGGAAGAAGGGGCTATCCACTTCTCAAAGAATTGGCCAGTGGAAACCTTATAAATAGCAGTGAAACACTGTCTGATATGTTACTGAAAAACTTTATGAATAGCCCTGAAACACTGTCCAATATAGTGCCGGAAGATGAGCCTCTCAGGTCAGAAGACACTCAAAATACGACAGGGGAAGAGCTGCTTCCTCAGAGTAGAGCTGACCTTAATGATGTGGATGGAGTTAAGCTTTTGGGACCTCCATTTGCTGATGTAGCATGACTTAAAATGGGAAGAAACAGCTGGAAACATCCATTAATAATCAGAATGTGGTATGTAGGAAGTATGAATCTAGGAAAATTGGATGTTGTCAAAAATGAAATGGAATATATAAATATCGATGTCCTAGGCATTAGTGAGCTGAAATGGTGGTTTTGGCCATTTTAAATCAGACAACCACATGATTTACTATGCTGGGAATGACAAATTGAAGAGGAGTGGTGTGGCATTTATCATCACAAAGAATGTTTCAAGATCTAGCTTGAAGTACAATGCTGTCAGTGATAGGATAATATCCATATGCCTACAACAAAGACGAGTTAATACTATTATTATTCAAATTTACACACCAACCACCAAAGCCAAAGACAAGGAAACTGAACATTTTTACCAACTTCTGCACTCTGAAATTGACCAAATGTGCAATCAAGATTATTACTTTTTATTATTACTGGTAATTGGTTGATTATTACAAAAGTTGGAAACAAAGAATTATCACTGGTAGTTGGAAAATATGGCCTTGGAAACAGAAATAATGCTGGAGATTGCATGGTAGAATATTACAATACCAATGACTTATTCATAGCAAATACCTTTTTTCCAAAACACATACATGCGTTTGGAACACTATAATGTGGACTTTGCCAGATGGAGTACACACTACATCTGTGGAAAGAGGTGATGGAGAAGCTCATATCTTCAGACAAAACAAGACCAGGAGCTACAATCATATACAAGTTCAAGCTGAAGCTGAAGATAATTAAAACAAGTTCATGAGAGCCAAAATGTGAATTTGATTATATCCCTTCTGAATTTAGAGACCATCTAAAGAACAGATTTGATGCAATGAACACCAACGACTAAAATGCAGATGAATAGTGGGATGACATCAAGAACATCATTCATGAAGAAAGCAAAAAGTCATTGAAAAGACCAAAATGGATGTCAGAAGAGACTCTGAACCTTGCCCTTGAATGGAGAGTAGCTAAAGGAAATGGAAGAAATGACAAGATAAAAGAGTTGAATAGATTTCAAGGAGCAGCTCGAGAAGACAGTGTCAATTATTATAATGAAATGTGCAAAGACCTGGAGTTAGAAAAACAAAAGAGAAGAATACACTTGGCATTTCTTAAGCTGAAAGAAATGAAGAAATAATTCAAGGCCTGAGTTGTAATACTGAAAGATTCTACAGACAAAATATTGAATGATGCAGTCAACATCTAAAGAAGATGGAGAAATACAGAGTCAGTGCACCAAAAAGAATTAGTCAGTGTTCATCCATTTCAGGAGATGGCATATGATCAAGAACCAATAGTATTAAAGGAAGAAGTTGAAGCTATGCTGAAGGAATTGGCAAAAAAACAAGGTCCCAGGAAGTGACGAATACCCATTGAGATGTTTCAACAAATGGATGCAACACTGGAGGCACTCACTTGTCTATGCCAAGAAATTTGGAAGACAACTACCTGGCCTACTGACTAGAAAAGATCCATATTTGTACCCATTCCAAAGAAAGGTGATCCTACAGAATGTAGAAATTATTGAACAATATCATCAATATCACATGTAAGTAAAATCTTGAAGATTATTCAAAAATGGTCACAAGAAATGCAAGCTGGATTCAGAAAAGGACGTGGAATGAGGGATATCATTGCTGATGTCAGATGGATCTTAGCTGAAAGCAAAGAATATCAGAAAGATGTTTACTTGTGTTTTATTGACTATGCTGAAGCATTTGATTATGTGGATCATAAAAAATTATGGATAACATTGAGAAGAATGGGAATTCCAGAATTCTTAATCGTGCTCACGAGAAACCTGTACATACACCATGAGGCTGTAGTTTGAACAGAACAAGAGGATACTTCATGATCTAAAATCAGGAAGGGAGTGCATCAGGGTTGTATCCTTGCACCATACTTATTCAATTCATACACTGAACAAACAATCTGAGAAACTGGAATATATGAACAGGAGTGTGGCATCAGGATTGGAGGAAGACTCACTAACAACCTGTGATATGCAGACAACACAACTTTGCTTGCTGAAAGTGAGGATGAGTTGAAGCACTTACTGATGAAGACTGAAGACTTCTGTCTGCAGTATTGATTACAACTCAACATAAAGAAAATGAAAATCCTCACAACTGGACCAAAAAGCAAAATCACAATAAGTGGAGAAAAGACTGAAGTTGTTAATGAGTTCATATTACTTGGTTCCACAAACACCACCCATGGAAACAACAGTCAAGACATCAGAGGAAGTATTGCACTGGGCAAATCTGCTGCAAAAGACCTCTTTAAAGTGCTGATGACCAATGATGTCTCCCTTGAAGACTAAGGTGCGCCTAACCCAAGCCATGGTATTTTCAATTGCCTCATATGCATGTGAGAGCTAGACACTGAATAAGGAAGACCAAAGAAGAGTTGATGTTTTTGAGTTGTAGTATTGGTAAAGAATGCTGAAAATACTAGGAGCTCTGGTAGCATAGTGCCTAAGGCACTCGACTGCTAACCAGAAGGCTGGAGGTTCAAACCCACCAGCCACTCCTTGGAAGGAAGGTTGGGCAATCTATTTCTGTAGTGATACTGCCTCGGAAACCCAAGGAGGGGTCGCTATGAGTTGGGTCTGACTTGACGGCACATAACAACAACAACAACAACTGAAAGTACTATGAACTGCTAAACGAACGAACAAATCTGTCCTGGAAGAAATGCAGCTGGAATGATCCTTGGAAACAAGAATGGCCAGAGTTTACCTCACCTACTTTGGTCATGTTGTCAGAAGGGACCATTCCCTGGAGAAGGATATCATGCTTGGTAAAGTGGAGGGTCAACAAAAAAGGGGAAGGCCCTCATCAAGATGCATTGATACAGTGGCTGCAACAATGGGCTCAGGTATAGCAAGGATTGTGAGGCTGGTGCAGGGCTGGGCCATGTTTATTTCTGTCATACATAGGGTTACTATGAGTCGGAGGCAACTGGACGGCCCGAATAACACCACCACCACCTAGAAATGAAAATTCTAGGTAAAGATCCATACAGTTGCATTCAATAATATTTGGTAAACGTCTTAGTTATCTAGTGATGCTATAACGGATATACCACAAATGGATGGCTTTAACAAACAGAAATTTATTCTCTCACAGTATAGAAGGCTAGAAGTCAGAATTCAAAGTACTGCCTCTAAGGGAAAGTCCTTTTCTCTTCAGCTTCCTGGTTCCCTGGAGATCTCCATATGTTCTAGCATCTATCTTACTGCATTTCTCTTCTCTAATTGCTTATTTAAGCTCTTATATCTCAAAAGACATTGACTCAAAACACACCCTATACTAACCTTGTCTCATTATGTAACAAAGGTAACCCATCCTCAAATGAGCTTATAACACTGGCATAATGGTTAGAATTTACAACACATATTTTTCAGGACACAATTCAATCCATAACAATAAATAAATACTTCAGTTCAAGAAGTTTGAAGATCGCCCAGGTGCAGAAGCTTAAAGAGACAGGGCCCTTCCTCTGGAGCCGAGATAAAGAGAAAACCTTCTAGAGTGGGCACAATGAATTCAGACTTCTAGCCTCCTAAACTGTTGAGAAAACAAATTAGTTTGTTAAAGCCACCTACTTGTGGTATTTCTGTTATAGTACACTATACAAATAAGACACCAATCTAGGGTTACAGCATCTCTCATTGTTAAATTTATAACTATTCCAATCAGTTTAACAAACCAACACCAAATTCACTGCCATCAAGTCGTTTCCAACTTATAGTGATCCTTATTGGATTTGTGAGGCTGTAAATCTTTATGGAAGTAGATCACCCAATCTTCCTTCCATGGAGCAGCTGG